TTTTTTTTTTTTTTTTTGGTTTTTATTTTTTTTTTTAGTATTAAGATGCCTTACAGCTAGTTCTGTGCTGTAAAAAATTTCAAAGAATTAGTAGCTTGTTCTTCTATCAACCATCCTCCAGCAACTGTCAGCCGTCCCCCCCCGCCCCCCGCCTTGTTTTCAGTTTGTACCTTGCAAATGAGAGACAGCCTTATTCAGAACCAGATGTAAGGCTCCTAGAGAATGAGCGTAAGCTGTTGTACTTTAAGCCTAATGGGAAGTTTTATATGCAAGGGCCTTGAACTGATTAGTATAATTCCCTCTTTAATACAGCTGTCCCTCCAGATTAAGGTAAACCAAATGTTGCAATCAGAGATTAGTGTACCTTGCCAGTTATTAACATCCCTGGTTGCTCAGCAAGCACGTCAGACACTAATGCTGTGTATTTATTTGCCACTTCCACACTGTAACTTGAACTTCTGCACCTGTCAAAGCATTCCAGGGAAGAGAGGGGTATTATTGGAAAGCAAAAGTTTTATACCTGTTACACCTGTTTTGTTTTGTCACAGACTAAGAGTTTCTTTTTTTCTTGCCAAGAGTGCCAGGTGGTTTAATCCGTTACTCTGCTGGTTTTATGAAGAAAGACCATGTATGATAAATTGCATTTGCTACTCCTCATCTGCTTTCTCTTATCCGAGCCACTCACCTAAACTGTTTTGTTTCCACCCCCTTTTCCCCTTTGTAAGAGAGTCTTTCTCCCTCTGCCCCCCCTGCAGAGAGGATGAGGATGGGTGTTAGAAAAGTCAGCACCCTGTCTTGCTGTGCTCTAATCAGTTAGTGGTGCCTCTATCACAAGGTGGGTCACACAGTTGTCTTATTACATTTAGCAGGATATCCTGTCCACCAGCAGCACAGATGTCAAGGAGGACAATGTCCTGCCTATCACCAAAAGATCTTTGCCTCCCCTCACTTGATCAGATTTTGCAGATAAATATATACTATAAACTTACTTACAATGCAAAGAGGGTCGAGCGTCTCTTGTGCTGTGTGTAGGAAATGGATCAAGTCAGGCCACTCTAAATTACTCAAAAGCATTTAACTCATTTAGCAGGAGTGTTAAAATAGCTGTAAATGGTAGAAAATTAAAAACAAAGAGATTTCACATGCAGAAAGAAATGGTGCCACGGGGCCTACATCCTTTATTTGTATGAAAATGATCTTGAGGACCCTGTGCAAAAAAGCTTAAATGAATAGCAGAAGACCAATATGGTCAGGTGCCTGTAAACATGCAGGACACCTGCTCTGATGCATTCTAATTAGAACGCTTTGGTGGCCTCGCCGTTCCGTGTATTCAGTGTCCCTGCATTTCAAAATGGTGGCGTGGGCACTTTAACCAAAGCTTATTGAACAAGCTTTGGTTAAAGCACCCTGCCACCATTTTGAAGTTTGGGATGCTTAATTCAGATCACGCTGTGAGTGTTTTAACTAGAGTGGCTCCTGAGAGCTGTTCTATTTAAAACGTGCCCCTCCCCCCAACCCTGGAGCATGTGTATAGACTCTTGTCCTCTCTGAGACAAAAAATTAAACCTGTTTAAATGCTCCATTATTTACATAGTGAAGCCAGGCTATAGCTATAGCTTCTGAGACATTACTGTTTCCTAACAAAGACTGTTATAATTCGCCCCCCCCCACCATTTCATGGGTTCCTTATTAAAAGATAATTGACATAAGGTCAAAAGGCCCATTTTAGCACAATCCCCTAATAGCACTGGGTTTGCAAAGTTTACTGCCTGCTGTACACTGTCTGCACATTATAGCTTAATTGCAGATTTTTAAAAGACAAAATATGTTCATATCTTAGGAATTATGTCTTGCAGCCTACTAAATATGCTAATGCAGTACTAAGCAGGGATAAAGTTCTTGCCATACCACCCAACAGTTGCGTGGGACACGCTGCCAAGTTATTGTTAATTGTAAAGCACAAGCAGGCTTTGCAATCCATCTTAATTGTCATACTTACTTCAGGTTTTGTGATAAGGCTAGATGTTCTGTTTAAAGTGACAATGTTGACAAGGGGAAAGGGTGTGGGCCTGAGCTTGTGGTTCTGGAGGGGTTATGTATTCTGACCTGCCGTAGGTTGATATGGACAGTCTGCAAAGGGATTTTAGTTGTCATGGGGTCCCCAGGCAGTTGAATAGAGTGACTGTCTGTCCTGCTTTTTCCTGTTAGGATCCTGACACGTGGAGCATTGATGAACTCAGCATAACGTTGAATAGGAGCTTTTTGGCAGCTGAGACACAAGGGCTAAGCTGCAGGTCAGAGATAACACTAGTGCAGATCTCCTCATGCACACAGTTAGTAGCATGCTTTCTTCCCTCCTGAGTGCAGGAAATAGCTCATGTTAAATACGTTCACTTTTCAGTTTTCCTTTCTTCTAAAATGGAGCTTGACAGATTGGGCTTTTCAGCTCCCCCTTTTTTTTCACCACCTCTGCTTTCTACCTCAGAAATACTCTTCAGGAAGCAGGAGTTAATCTTGGTGAGGAAACGATAAGGTGATACTTGATTTTTCAGGGGAAAGCAGAAGGATATGACTGCCTGGTAACTGCACAGAAGCTTACAGGCCTGCCTTTTTAAGGCTTCCCTTTGCTTTTCCTTGAGAATCACAGAAGCCTGAAGGCCTGGCTGGAGGTAAAGTTTAAATAGCATCTGGAATAGGAAGGAAGTGTTAGGAAGGTACACTGATAAAACTGCTTCCCCATACTTTTTCTATCAGCGAGAAGGATCAGGTGAATTGGGACATTAGCGTCCCAACTTTGATGCATCCTGGCTGGCACAGAAACGTGTCTTTGAAGTTGTTTTATGTTCAGCCAAGTTTTTTTACATGATTAAAAAAGAAAGAGCATGAGCATTGTCTTTATTAACTGATGTCAAGCTGGCATCCTGTGTACTGGGACAATGTACACATTTCTATCTGTTTTTGGCATTAGTATTAAAATTGCATTAGCTATTAAAATGTTTATATTAAGAGATTAACAGAGATTTGAAGAAGGGAGGGGGCTTATTCTTTAATAATGGAGTCAATATATGTGTGTATTCACGTAGTGCTAGCGAAAGATAAAGGGAGGCCCTCTGTTTGCAGGCCAGGCTAACATTCCCAACTTTGCTTCATCAGAGTACCACAGCCATGATTTGGTGGGGCTGCTTCTAGTGGTGAGAATGTAATTTATTCCTCAATGCCCATGCACTCCTCCTTCTTTTTGTTGGAACTGAGACCAAGAATGTTAGTTAGGGACAATTATGATAGTGCATTTACTGATGTAGACACTTGTCCAGTAGGAACCTGCGGGCACCTTTTTTCAGCTGGGTCTTTTCCTGTGAATGTATTTAGCACTCCAGTGATTTCATGGGTATAGGCAGGATCCTGGCAGACATTAGCGATCCAGAGTCCAGATCCTGGCAGACGTTACAGATCCAGATTTCATAGGTATAGGCAGATATTACAGATCCTTGAACGGTATATACATTCGAGGAGTTTAGATTAGGCAAAGAATGGCCAGCCTGGTCTAGCGTAGTTTATCTAAGGAGGTGCATTACACAGATCTAACCACATTTTTGTACGCATTAAAAACACAGCTTTGAGGCTGGGAAAGCCCACCTGCTTGCCCCAGCTCCAGGGCTATGCTTTTCCTACACCCTTTGAGTTTATCTTATGAGTTATGGTTAGGTGTTTGCATATCTAACAATGATAATATTGCACAGCAACTTATGTCACCTTTGGCACCTGTGGCACCCTGGACTGCTATGGCACCTGGCTAAAATCTACAAATAAAATGTTTTCATTCTTTTCCTTAGGGGAACCTCTAGTTCTGTGGTTGGCTTGCTGTATGGGGAAGAAGAGGTGAAGAATGCCATGGTTTGTGCTGTTTGTATACAAGGACCATTTCCCTGCTGTTGGATGGTTCCAGTTT